AGCGAGCAGACACGGGCCAGTTTCACTGCCCGGTATGCGGGCAACCCTTTCCAAAGGCCAACACGCTGGTAGCACACTATGCTGCGCAACACGCCGTGTCCAATCCGGAGGTTATCACAGTTGCAACATACACATGCAGTGAGTGCAATCAGGTATGGCGCAGAGAGATAGACAGGCGCCAACACATTTGTCCAGTTCGACCAAGGCCAAAGCGGGCTCCGAAAGCGCAGCCCGCCCGACCATGCAGGCTATGTCACGCCCCGATCTGTGCGGCGAATCTGGAGCGCCATGAAGCCGGTTGTAGAGGGCCGGGCGCCGCCAACAGGACGTGCGCTAACCCGCGTTGCAATGCCATATTGGGGTCAGTGCAGGCGAGAAAAAATCATGAAGCGCGATGTCAGCTTTGACAAAGAAAGGAGGGCATGTTTCACGCATGATGTGGTCTTGTCGGTCGTTGCACGCACTCGCACACGCACACCACGCCCCCGGTTGTCGCGCTAGGCACGTCCTAAGCGTCCTTCGGGCAGTGCCGTCGGGTCACGAATCCGGCGGCGCGGACAACCGGGGGAGGGGAGGTCGGGACCAGGTCACGAACCGTGGGACCGACCGAACCATCTTTCGCATCGAGTTCTCGGCTCACAGCTGGTCTCACCCCAGGGTTGAAATAATCAGGCCATGACCTCGGAGCGTAAGAAAGCCGTCCAGGATATGCAGCGGAAGCTGGAGGTGCAAGAGCAAGAAATCGGCTACCTGCGTTCCCGAGTGGATCGGATCGAAAAAAGTACACAACTAGTGGTTGAGCGGTCTGAGGAGGTGGAAGAGTTATACAAACACGCGGAGGCCTCTCGCGAGTTCAAGACCTTGGCGCAGGACGGAGCGAACGGAGTTCTTCGCGAGCTGTCGCGGTTGACGGGACTTCCCTGGCCGCTGCCGGCGAGCACGCCATCCCAGTGGCAGGATATGAGTGATGAGACTCGCAAGCAAGATCTCCGCGCCGTGCAGGAGTGGTGGACTTGGTCTACAGCTCTCCTCTCAGGAACCAGGTTTGTGATGCCTAACAAGGCACGAAGCACACGTGTGGAAGCAACAGGACAGTATGAGCGGGCGGCGGGGCACTTCGTGTTCCGGATCGAATTCGGCGAGGGAAGCTTCCGGGTGCAGAGCGGGTTGCAAACACTGGGCAAAACCTTCGCTGAGGCAAGCCGGGCGGCCAGGGCAGCGAATCCGGAAGCCAATCCACCGATCAACCCGATCAACGTATTTGTCAACCGGACGCCAGAGGAGCTCAGGAAGAAGCGAGCCCGTGACGGGAAGAATGGTGACGGGAAAGGTAAGGGTTCCAAGGGAAAGGGCTCAGCGAAAGGCAAAGGCGGCCGCGGCCGCCAGCGCCAATAGATTTGGTGTCGAACGTGTTTCACCCTGATGGCAGTGTCGCTGTTGCGGTTCTAATAAACGAGTGTTTGTTAGTGCTGGGTATTTCCACCTCTTTTCTGCTTTACGGACTGCGGTGCTGAATTCAAAGTAGACCTCCTTCCAAGTTCATGTCGAGCTGATGGAAGGCGGGCTGCAGTTTTCCTTGAGCCTCGGATGCATTTACCTGCTCTGCGGGTAGGGCAGCCAAACCAAACGCCTGACCAACGAACGAACGAACGAAAAATCCCAGGCTATTTGAGCCCTTCCGCTGGTCTGAAGTTCGCCGACGTGCCCAATGGCCTGGCCGCAATTTCCAAAGTTCCTGCCGCTGGGTGGGGTCAGATCTTGGCTTACATGGCCTTCTGCGAGGTGTCCCAGGACCAGTCGGCGGGAACTCCTGCTGCGGCGGGTGACTTCGGATTCAAGGTGCTCACCGTATCCGACCCGGAGGCGAAGAAGACGAAGCTAGCGGCCGAGTTGGCGAACGGACGACTGGCGATGATGGCCATCATCGGCATGTTTTTCCAGGCCGGTGGATGCAGAGAATTGAGTACGCATGATGTGTTTAAGTCTGGATACCCTTGAGAGTCACAAACAACAAAGACATATTCTATGTTTTTTGGGCCGTTGGCAATGTTGGATTTATTGCATGTTCCAATGTTTTTCCGCTGTTTCATGTTATTTGTGCAGTCGTCACCTTGATTTGTGCGCCGTTACACTTGTTCAGCGGACAGTAACAGGTTATATGACTACACCTGTTTAGCGGACGGAAGCATATATGTTTTTGGGTTGTTCCCCCAAATACATATTCCACGCGTCAAGTTTCAGACCAGAACATATTCTAAGATTGTAATATCCAAAGTGAACTTGTCACTGGTCAGATCAGACGCCGAAAGTACTTCTGTTTGTTTGATGTGTCCATTTGATATTCTGGCCTTTGATATTCCAAGTACTGGTAGGGGCCAAGTGAAACCTTGCAATGTGGTGGAGTTGTTTTATGCTTTTCGTGCGGTATGCAATAGAGCCGCGGCGGACATTCGTGACATACCCGGTTACGTATCAAGACCTGCTGGCTCTTTACACCTTCGCACACCTCACATTGACAACAATGCCTGGCTTGCATGCACTCTCCTTGCATACCCTGATGCACTCTGAGTGATTTCCCAAGGGGCGAGTGCTTGCCCAGAAGAAGACAAGTTGGACCAGGTAGCAGGGGGCTGGGAGAATCCTTTTTCTTTGTTTTCGTTACATACCTCGTTGCATCGGCGTTACGCAGCTCATGCCCAAATGTCAAGCACCGTTTCCCAGTTACCTCCGTAACGGTCGCGTCTTGCGCTGCATGCCTTCAAACAAGATCATATACTCATTTACCGCAGATTACATCCAAGTTGCCAGGGTGTTGTGGATGTTGTTGCCGGTTCCCTTGTAATATTGAGGAGATTAACCATAGCAGAGAGAGCAAATGAGTGATCAAACTAATCGCATGGCCAACTCTTTCCGTTCTAATTGTGCGCGCAGGGAGCCCTAGATGCAAGGCTATCGAGAGACCACGGGTCCTCAATGCATGTTGAAGCTTTTCAATGCGCTGCTTGAAGAGCTTGGGATGTCACACATCAAGCCGCAGAGCTGATTGCAGACAAATTCGACGATAGGTGGCAGGCAACATGTCAAGCTAAAGTTTTTCTTTCGGAGTGGCATTAGAACCCCCAACGCAGAACCCTTCGATCAGAACCATTTCAAGGTTCCTGACTTGTTTTTCGGTGAAACTTGCATGAAGCGATTCTTGTGCGGCATGCAGGATGGTCTCACTGGCAGCGCTTGGGGTGACTGGGCCAACTACACCGCTTCGCCTTTGCGTGCCTTCGAAAACGAGCTTGGAGTGCAAGCGCCGGTGGGGTTCTGGGACCCGGCAGGGTTCACGGCCGATGGCAGCACTGAGAACTTCGCCCGACGTCGCCAGACGGAGCTGAAGCATGGTCGCATTTCCATGCTTGCCGCTTGATCGAGGTCCGGTAATATCTTGCTTTTGCTTTGCCTCGTACAAATATGATGGCGTCCCAACACGTTTGCAGTTATTATCCAGCTTTGAGTTTGAACATTGACCAAGGCTACAATGGGATACATTACTTCCGAGATCACCGGAAAATTCCCGCAATTTCCAAAGTTCCTGCCGCTGGGTGGGGTCAGATCTTGGCTTACATGGCCTTCTGCGAGGTGTCCCAGGACCAGTCGGCGGGAACTCCTGCTGCGGCGGGTGACTTCGGATTCAAGGTGCTCACCGCATCCGACCCGGAGGCGAAGGAGCTGAGCGCAGGCGCGCATCAACGCAGCGTACCTGCTGACTTTTGAGCCGGACTTGTCCCGGAGAGCCCCTACCGTGCGGGCATTGCCCCCGAGATTGCGGACGAGCTGTTCCGCATTCTGCATCAGATTGGGCCTGCGAGCCGGGGCCTGACTGCACCGCTTCAGATGGGCCCGGGCGCTAATGACTTTAAGCGCCGGCGACAGGTCCGGGAGACCTGAGCTGCAGAAAGCGCAAGACCAAGAGCGCTGATCAAGAGGCAGCTGCGGGGACGGGGACACAGGCAGGATGCGCTGCCGCTTCCCAGCCAGGCCATGGAAATCGTCCCGGCTGTGCCCCGCGTGGGCGTGGCTGATGTGCCGATGGCGGAGCCCGTAGAGTTTGCGGTCGCTGTCCGCATGGAAAGAGACATGACAGACATTGCAGACCCAAGTCGGAGTGTCCTGGCCAAGGACCGGGCCCGCCGAGGCCACCGTCTCCGAGGAGGGGCGAGGCCGAGACCGGGAGCGGGGGGCCGACCGACGTTCGCAGTCGCCTGAAAGCGACGCCGCGCTGAGGACGGTGTGCGCAGCAGACCCACCCGCAAAAACGCCCGGTTGCGCCAAGGGAGCGCCGCCGCCACGCTGCCGCGTGCTGCAGGAAAGTGCACGGGAACCCGAGACCGGGGAAGCCTGGGCGAACTGCCGAGGAACAGGACGGGGGGCCGACCGTTTTTCGCGGTTGCCTGAAACGGGCGCCGCGCTGAGCACGGAGAGGTCGGCAAGCCCTCCCGCCTGATGAGCGGCATGCTGACCAGCCTGGACAGGCTGCTTGGAGCGCAGACGGCTCCTGACAGAGGAGCGGGTGCCCCAAGAATCCCGCGAGGAAGCAGGACGGGGGGCCGACCGGGTTTCGCGGTCTCCCTGGGCGGGAGCGCGCTGGGCACGGAAAGGCCGGCAAGCCCGCCCGCCTGAACAGCAGACGCCGAGGAAGCGGCGGATGGGGCGTCTCGGACAGGCTGCTTGGAATGCAGCCGTTGCCGGCCTGAGGCAAGATTGCCGCCAGAAGAGAGGAGCGCGGGAGCGCATAAGAGCCGCCGGACCGAAGAACGGGTGCCCCAAGAAGAGGCAGCTTCGAGATCCGAAGCGCGCGAAGGATCAGGAGCAGGACAGGGGGCCGACCAAACTTCGCGGTCGCCCGGAGCGGGCGCCGCGCTGGGCACGGTGGAGTTGGCAAACCCACCCGCCTGATCCTGAGACTGGACGCCGGCACGGTACCCCGCACTTGGGCCCTCGATCTGGCGACCCTATGAGTCGTCAAGCGAGATCTCGCCTTCCAACGCCTCAAAGTGCCTGGCCACAAACCTGATCGCGATGGGCTTATGCTTCCCCGCACGGTGAAGACCAGGGTGTTACCCTCAGCCGGCGCGAAGACGAAGATGGGCCTGTCGCCCGTGTGGGCCAGCGCCTGAATCTCGAGGGCAGAACCCCAAGAGGAAGGCTTGGCGACGGCATCCAGGTAGGCCTCGAAATCACCCATGGCCTCTCCCTTTGAGGTGGGGGCCGAGCGATCCCAGAGCTGAGAGTACCGCTCTTTGTAGGATCTCAGGTGTTCCCTTCGCTATGGTCCGCAAGACCGCGTGACCCTTATTGGTGCCCGCATTGCGAAGAGCGTCAGACACCGCATGAAACAGACAGTTTCCCTCCCCTCTGTTGGGGACGACGCGGCAGCTTTTGGGCACCTCAGTGCTCTGCTTTTTGGACGCAGGTCCCAGGGCTGGACCGTTCGCGCGCTTAGTGGGGCCCTCAGCGGCCGGCATCTCCGCATCATCCTGAGCCTTGTCCGGCTCCGGCGCCTTATGGCGCACCGCCGCCGTGAAAGGCATGGCCTCGCCGGCTCGGGTCACCGCAGCCGGGCGGTCGGTGACGCGAACCGCCGCATCACACCTGAGAGGCTTGCCTGGCCGCCTCTGGCCGGCGCTCCAGCAGCATGAGGCCAGCACCGACTCTCCCTCCACCTCCAGGACCAGGTGGTCCAACGCATCATTGCGAGAAGCTCTCAGGCTCCAGCCCGCCTTGCCCCGCCACTTGAACCGCTCAAGGATCTCCACCTTGGCGACAAACTGCCACTTCATCGGGATGCCGTGAAAACGCCACAGTCGGCACCTCTCCCGGGCAGGGCCCGCCTCTCAAGCATCTGTGGGAACTCGCACCCTCACCTGTCGGTTTCCCAGCCTCAGGCCCATGCCAAAGCTGCTTGCGTCCCTGTCAGCCTGGGCACACGCTCGGGCGAGATCGGCTTCCTCCACCCACTGCACCAAAGGCGGGTGCTTGAAGATCCCTTGCAACGGCGCCTCCCATCTGAGCGGCTCCAGCAACCAGCGGCCTCCAATGTGCGCCCTGCCGCTTTGGCTCAGAAGAGCCGTAGCCAAAGCCAGATCCACCCGGATCAGGCCCTGAACCTCGTGGATCTGGGCTCGAGCCTCCCAGCCCCAGCTGTCCCGCCACTGTCTGCCCAGGCCGGGGCACGCCACCATGGCCCAAAGGCGAAGCTCCTGAGCAGGCGGCCGGCATGCCCTTCCTGGTGCGAGCTCGCAACAACATCGTGGGCTCAGCCTTGCGCTCAGGGACCTTGACCTGCATGGTCTTCGCCTTGAGCAACGGGGCACCATCACCCCGTTTGACCACGTTGCGCCGGACGAAGCGCAGCCCGTTCGTGAAGACCAAGGGCATTTGGCAAAGGTCCGGTTTGAACCCCTGCACCTCCTCGAACTCGTCCGGGAAGCCCACACCGGTGTCGTAGTTGAAGACCAACGTGACCGGCACCTTGTCGTACGCCGCCATGAGGTCCCACATGAGCGACCACCGCCTGACCTCCTCCAAGCGCATTTTCTAGCGCCTCCGTAGCCGTAACCACCGGATGCGTCCAGTCACCTGGCCTGGCCCGTCCGACTTCTGGCTTCGCCTGCGCATGGGCCTGCTTAGGTTTAGCATGCTTCTGCTGCCGCCCCTTCATGACCGCCACCCATTCGCCCTCATCGCAGACCGGCTGGGTCACGGGCTTGGGTCCTCCTCCTTTGGCCGGCGCCCCGGCGCCCTTGCCTTTGCCCTTTGACTTGGCAAGGGCCTGCTGGCCTTCGGCCGTGACGGTCCTTTGGCCTCGCGAGAACTTCTGCACAAGGCTTTTGAGCTCCTGCAGCAAGTTGCTCGGCCGGCGCTCCACCAGGCTCCGCAAAGCCTCAAACAGACCGTCCTCCTCCGAAGGCGGCCGCCGCGGCGCTTCCTGCTCCTCTTCCTCCTGGCAGCTGCTTATCAAAGCAGCGAGGCCCGCCAGGAGCTTTTCCTGCTTGGACTGAGCACCGCCGCGAAGAGTTCGGAACTCAGGGCCAAAGCCCTGGCCATCACTCTGCCGACGCGGCTGGCGTTGCTGCCGCTGCCTCCTCTCCCTCCTCCGCTGCCTTTGCCGCCGAAGGCCGGACCGGACCGGCAGGCTGCCGAGCAGCAGAAGGCTGTGTCCCGACAGGTACGTGTAGTTGCCTCGCGCCACCAGCGCTTGCGCGCGGCGCCCAGCAGCAACCCGAGCTCGGCCGCAAAGTGAGGCGCTCCATGCGAACCTGCCAAGGTCGTGGAGAGACGTGGTTTGGCCCTTTGTGGGCGGGAGGGCTCCGGGGCGCTCCTATGTCAGCGCAGCACCCTCGGGTGACTGGCGAGGTGGATCAGGTGGTGGCGGAGGTTGCGGCCAAGAAGCGGCCAGTGGGGTCCGGCGTACTCCTTCGTCAGCGCAGCGCCCTCGGGTGACTGCAGTTTGCCGGTAACCCCGGGACTCCGCCACAGCCCCCGGGGGCGAGAAGGCGCCGGCAACTCGCAGTCACCCGTGGGTGCTGCGCAGGCAAAGCAGTGCTCCGGAACCCCCCCGCCCGAAAAAGGCTGAACCACATCTCTCCACGATCTCCGCGACCATCTCGACCACCACGGCCACCAGGGGCAGGAAAGCGCCGGCATGTCGCGGTCGCCCGAGGGCGCCGCGCTGACAAAGAAGCACTCCGGTACCCCCCTGTCCGAAAAAGGCCGACCCACGCAGAAAAACAAAGGCGAGGAAGCCCAGAAAGACGCCGCGCAGCAACGCCAGGAAAACACCTGAGCCCACGCCCGAAGCCTCCAGCATGGCGGACCCAGCCGGCGACCACCAGCAGAGCACGCTGCTGCAAGGTCCCTAGTCAAAGCGAAAGGTAGAGCATGAACGTGAGCAAGGGCAGCGTGACAACCCACGCACCCTCGGCTCGGACCTGAGTGGATCCTCTCTCACTCAGCTCACTCCCATCGGTGATCATTTGGCACCGATCGAGGTCGGCCCGGCTGCGCCTAGGGGAGGCATGGTCGTGCAGCCGCTTCGTCTTCTTCGCCTCCTTTTCTCCCACGGGCGTCTTGGCTTCTGATGCCGATCATCCGCTGGATTTCGCGCCTACCCGCTGGGAGGGTAACCGGGCCATTGACTATATGGCCTTCTCTCGGAGCCCCTCGTCGGCTTCGGCGCCAGGTTCTGGGCTGAGGCCTACGGGGACCACAAGGCCGTGCACTTCTGCATCCGCCACCGAGCGCCTCGTTTCTGCAGCTACAAGCTGGCGCCAACCGACCAGTTCAGCTGCCCGACGGGCCTGGGCCGCGCTACCTGGCGCAATCGCCTGGCGGCCGCGTGGCAGGAACAGGCCGCCATGCCTGAGGATGGCAACAGCACTGAGGTCGAGTGGGAATGGTTCAATGCCACCATCGAAGACTGCTACAGGCAGGTCACCGCTTCGGCCGGGGATCAGCCCAAGGCCGGGGTCCGCCCCAAGGGCAGTGGAGCCTTCTGCGTGCCTGACAGCGACGAGCGCCTCGCGGGATCCTGATTGGGTTCGTACAGAGAGCGATCCCTTCGTAAGCTCCTGGGCCGGGTCCGGGAGCGCAACAAGCAGTGGGCTGGCGGCCGCAGGGACGATGCTTTGGAGGCCAACATCTCCCGGACCTGGCCGAGGAGTTTGTCTTTCTCCCTAACCAATTTATGAGTACTAGATCCATGGGGTCTAGATTTGGGGGGTTTTTGGCTATCTCGAATTATCTCGAATTATCTCGAATTATCTCGAATTATCTTGAAGATGTAGGTCAGGTTGAAAGCAACTTGCATGTTTGGGATTTGTTTCTGCATTTTTTGTCATTTGTATGATGTGTGTCTTCATGAATGCCGTGCAATTTTGTTGATTTTGCATTTTCATTTTGTAAATATTTGTTCTAATGCTGACGCATGATGGTCGGTCATTGTGTTTTTACTGATCTTAAACCTGATTGCATCGGCTCGTAGCAATCAGGGGGCGGTGATGATGTCAAACGGTGTGTTTGTCGCGTTGCCTTCAGCTTCACCAATTTCAATCAATGATGTCCCGAATATATCATCAACCGAAATCCCTTCTGATCCAACGCATGGTGGAAGATGCGTATTACTACAGAAGTGACTGGACAGACATGGACCTGCATTTGGAAAAGGAGTGGGCAAGATTTGCAGAGGACGGGCTGGGCTATGACCAGGTGACCAGGTGGCCACTGGATGCAAGTGTGATTTACGAAAGCGAGAGTGACAGTGACCACCATGATCACTCCTGTCCAAATTCGAACGCTCTCAAAATCATGATTGGAAGCTTGGCTGTCGGGCTGCGGGTCCATGAGTTGGGTGAAATAAGTCAGGTCGGGAAACCTGTGCAGCCGGATTTGGTCGTTGCTTTGAATGCAGCTGACTGGCAGTACGAGCATGGCATGGAACGTGTGGAAAACACAGCAGCAGTAGATCGCCTAGCTTATGGCCTGTGGGATAAAACCCATCTACAGGGTGAGGAGTGGAACCTCTTCAAGAACGACTTCAATCGGACTTGGCAGCACATGTATAATGACATCAAAACTACACGGGCTTGGACTGAAGGGCGTTGTCGCAGCATCTTGTTTCATTGCCATGGTGGAGCGCATCGGAGCACATCTGCAGCTGTGGCGTTCCTATTGATGCACCATCGATGTAGCCTTGAAACTGCAGTCCAATGCATTTTGAGAAAGAGAAAGTCGCTGCGAATGTGGTGCAACAGGGAGTACATCATTGAAGCTCTTGTGGCACTGGAACATTCGATCTTGTCAGAGACCTCTGAGACTCTGAGCCAGGTGTGAGTTTTGAGCTCCAACTTAGTTTCACCTGTGTGTGACAGGCTTTGCTACGAAATGAGCAACGACATGTGACATGTGTGTGTGTGTCACAACCCACGATCGTCCGTTCACACTTTTCATTTTTTGCATTGCCAAAAGTAATTAAGTATTTAAGTCAAATTTGTCCCACTCCCTTCACTCAGAAAGTTGAATGACTGAGAGGCCTGGCTGGCGCGTTGATGCGACTTTGACTTTGATTCATGGACCTGTTACTGAGCTACTGACTCCAGGACGTGTTTGCAATTTAATTGTGCTACGGAAATTGTGTGTGACATTGTCGAGTCAACAAATGCATTGCTGCAATTCAATAGTTGGATCTGAGGGTGACTGAACCCTGCCCATGCCATAGTAGTGTTGAGGCCGCCTCGCTTCCAAGATGAAGCGCCCTGCTGCCAAAGCGATAATGAAGCGCCCTGCTGCCAAAGCGATGAAGAGTCCTGCTGCTGCAAGAATCGAGAAACGTCCGGCCATGCAGGTGGATGATGACGAGGCTGAGGACCTGGAATCTCTTCGTCTGATGCTTTATGGCCAGAATGAGAACGACTTCCGCTTCAACAAATGGCATTCGTTGGCGCCAAAGGGTAAACGGATTTTGATCCTGGCAATCTTCAAAGTATTTGGCGCTGATGATAAGGATATTGAGGAAATGACGCATTTCAGCATGAGCCTGAAGGACTTGCAGATTCAGTGGAAGGACATTACGGACGAGTTGAAACGGAATTTCAGTGATGGTCGGATCCGCGGATATATCTCGGCGGTGGTTAGGTACCTTACGACTCCAGGTTCTTCATTCAACTCATGTTGAATGGCTGTGCTTGGCTATCAAGGTTGCCAGTGCTGTCAGGGGAGTCACGGATCGTCTGATTGATTCAGAAGCCGAAGCAAGTTCAAGCTCTGAAACATCATTTGAGATATGACAATCTAACCCAGCAAGCCAAACAGTGTGTTCCTTGATTCCATGGCAGCACTGGTGGGATGTGGCGCCGGCGTGTTTGAAAGCGAGTGTTTGAAAGTTGTGTTACCAAAATTCCGACCTGGCAGGCGCTGGTGGCTGAATCTGGACTTTTGCATCATCAGTGTCAGGAACTCAGGCTTTGCGTTTGCTGTCTGTGACGTGTGTGCCATGACATCGAGTCAGTTGTTACTGTTACTGACATTGACTCAAGGAAAAACAGTGTGTTGGGTCTGCGCTTTTTGCATTGTCACGCCATGTCGCGCCGCACTATTCTTAACGTTACTGCCACTCCGCTCGTCAAGAAGCAGAAAGATGAGAGCGGCGGCGCCAGCCGCAGTAACAAGATCTACAGTCACTGCGGGGCAGGCCCAACAGTTTTCTACATCCCAGTCATTGAAGAGGCCTGGCTCACAATTGGGTGGGACTGACTATGTTACATGTGTTGGCCAAGTTGCTAATTGACAGATTAAGGTGTTGAAGAAGACGGTTTTCACATTGGTGCTTTGTTGCTGGCCCAGTGCGCACTGTGCATTGTCTTGTGCTGGCAGGTGAAATATCTGTGGGGGACAAAAGATGTGAGCCCACTTTACCAGCCGGGCGCGCGCTACCACTTCTCGCTGCGCTCGGAACTCAAGGTGGCAGTGGAGAGGGGAACGTGGTACCGGATGGACAACTATCCTGAGGCCCAGTGCCTTAGCCTTACTAACTGCTGATGCATTGAAGAGTTCCTAATCCACTTCATATTCATATGTGAGTGTGACTGGGACAATGTGAGGCCGTGCTGGTGCTGCTGCTGCTGCTGTTGCTGCTGCTGTTGATGATGTTATTGTTGTTATTGCTGTAGTTATTGCTGTTATTGTTGTTATTGCTGTAAGTGTTGTTATTATGTTGTTATTGTTGGTTATTTGTGATGTTGTTTGTATTATTGGTCTTGCTGCTGCTGCTGCTGCTGCTGTTTTTGTTATAATCTTTGTCTTCTTCTTTCTTTTATTGTGCTTCTTCTTCTTGTTGCTGTTGGTGGTGGTGATGGTGCACAGCTGCGAAATTACTAAAGACTGCTTGCTGGAATTGGCAAACAGGTCAACTAAAACATGGTAATGTAATCTTGCGCAGACACAGTCAGTTGTCAGCTGAGTCCGGAGATCATCTTCATCAAGATGTCCGTCACGAAGCTGGGAATGCAAACGCTTCAACAGGACAAGATGCTAACCTGCCAGGGACAAGGCTGGTGGAGGTTCCACATGCCCATCAGCCAGAGCATGTTCCTGGAAGAGGGCAACGCTGACTCACTTCTCTTTGAGTGTCTGCTATGCGAGACCTCGGAGCGGCTCGAATGAGTGAGCCAAACACTGTGTTACAACAGTGTTGTGATTCAGTCACGGGGGGCAGATGATGACTGGCAATGATTCAGAACATTAAATTGACGTTGCT